CCGCCCCCCGCTTACCTCCCCAGCTCGGGCCCCCGAGCTCCGGCCGGAGCCCCACGGCTCCCGTCCACCCCCTGCGAGCCGCGCGGGCGGCGCCCTCCGCCGTCCCTCCGCCCTCCGCCGCTGTGCCCACCCCCTCGCCGAGAGCGAGCTGGTGACTCCTTCCTCCGAGCCGGGTTACCTGCTCCCCGCCGCCGCGGACACGTGCGGAGGTCGGACTGACACTCGCAGCCCCCTCGGGAGGCCGGATGTGGCCCGGTCGCTCAGGTGAGGATCTGGGCGCTCGGGTGGGTGGGCTGCGGGGTGGGGGGAGGGGGTCCCCGGGGGAGAGTGGGGCCCTCGGCTGGGGTCGGAAGCGAGGGTGTGGGTGGGGGTGACTGATGGGGTGGAGGGTATGTCCTCGGAATCCACTTTGATTAACCCTTTGCGAACCAAGGCGGGCTAGTTACGGGGTCCAGTTTGGGGGAGCTCAAGGCGTCTCTCCTAATCGGACTAGAGACGGAGGACATCACACACTAGGGACGCCCAACCCTGAGGTCCTGTGCCCGCTCCCACATAGCCGTGCGCAAAAGCACAAACACTCCTTATGCAGATTTTGAAACGGAATTTAAACTCCACTCGGACGGTCCTACAATAATCCACATTTAGGGGTGAAAATGCACTGCCCCTGGGGACTCTGTGCGGGAGAATGTGTTCCCGTGCCCCATATTGATTTCCCACGAAAGCTCCCGCTCCCGCTCGCCGAGGTGTGGGTGCGGGCTCCACCTTTCCCACCACGAGGTAAACGTGAACGCAGGCTTCTCGCCGGCAACCCCCGCGGGGGAGTTTTGCACACTTGGAGGAGTGCACGCAGGCTGCCAAGTGCCCAGGCTTGGAGCCCCGCATGGACTCAAGGCAGGTTCGCTTTAGCTTCCCAGTTTACTTTTCGAATTTCCAATATCGGAGTTCAAACGCAAACGCATACCCCGCAGGGAGCAGCCTCGGCCCCGCAGCCCGCCGGTCAGTGTGCACGTGGGCGCATCCGTGTGTGCGCGCACGCGGGAGCCGCGGTCCCCGGTGCGGCCTCTGGTCGCGGCGCTGGTGGCGACCCTTGCGGTGCTTGGCAGGCTTCGAGAGAGGCACATGAAGGATTTCATTGAGTGTGAAGACAGAGAGCAGAGACAGAAAGCAGAAGGAGGCGGCTGCAGCCTTTGTAGTCGCGGAGGAATGCGGAAATGTTGAAGCACTATGTCAAACTTTTTGAAATGGGGTCAAGTCACATTCAGCCAGCGTGGGAAAGCAACAACAACAACAAAAAAAAGTGGAGGAGGGGGGCGGGGGGGGGGGCAAAGGCACTGTTGCTCCCGTTTCTCTCCGCCGGAGCCGATGGTCTGGGGAGCGAGGAGGGGCCGCTGGGGCGGGTGGTGCGGGGCCGGGCGGGGGCAGCGGGCGCAGCTCCCTGCGGGGGTGGGACGTCCGCGACGCTTCCTTCGCTGCAAAGCCTGGGGCTGGGAGGGGCGGGGGATGGGATGGGGGGGTGGGGACACGGGAGGGCGGGCGGCGCAGCCGGCGGCGGCTCCTCCGCTACCTGTGTTGCCCTCGGCCTGGCTCAGGTCCTCGGGCAGACGGTGGGGGCTCGTTCCTCGGCTCCCCCAGGACTCGCCTACCCCCTTTAAGAAGAGTTTGAGTGGAGTCAGTGTGAGAGGCTCCATCCTCGCTGCGGTCTCCTCTGCCCGAACGCAGTGGGGGTCGCGCCATTTGTTTCTTTAATTCCTGGAAGAAGCCGAGCCGGCCAGCTGTGCGGGGCAGGTAATTCCTAGGTGGCCCGGGAATTCCGGACACGCGGCCGGCGTAGCGAACATCCTGCCGGGGCTGCGGTAGCCGCGGGTTGGAGGTTTCCTGGGGACTGGATTGCAAAATGAATGGGGAGGGGAGGTGATCCCGCCCCCCCCCCCCCCCCCCCCCACACACACACCACCCTACACTTGGTTGCGGAGGGCTGGGGGAGGGGGGGCGACTGGCTGCAGAAGGCATCGGGCCTGAAGCCGAAAGGGGAATGGAAACCTCTGTCTGCTACGTACATCGGAGATGATCCTGGGAGTCGGGGAAGAGCCCCCGCCGCGGGAGTGGAGCCTCTTCTCTCTCACCCCCGGAGGCTCAGCATTTTCTCCCCTCACCCCACCCCACGTCACCGCCACCCTTTTTCCTGGGGAAATTGAGTTTTACTTGGGTTGGAATCGGTTGGAAATTTCAGGGCGGGTTACAGTGGTTACCTTTCTCCTTAAGTTATTCTTTAAAGAGACGAGATAAAATGTGGAGAGCACCCTTTCGCCCACATTTGGAGTCCCGTGGGCGACTCCCTCAATCCAGGACCCCACCGTCCACCCACCCACTCACCCCCGAATAGCGGGAACCCCACCTCTCCCGGCCTGATGGGTTTCCACCAGGGAGGTCCTCCGCGTTGGCGAAGGAAGAGTGCCATTTCCAACCCAGACTCCTTTACCCCCCAAAAAGACCATTTGTGATGCAAGTCGTTTTTAAATGTTTCCTGGTAGAAAAACTGAAAGTAGAAAGAAAGGAAGCAATTTTCGAGCAGATGTCTGACCACCCCTTTTCGCACACTCCCAAGCATCGAGTTACAGGGTCCTGGGGGCCCCCACCCACACTCTACGGCCCCACACGGGTGGACTCAGTCCCTCCACAGCAGCTTGCGCGCGACCCCTGACCGTCCCACGGCACCCCGGAGCCCCTCTCCCTGCGCGTCCAGGCCGGGGAAGGGAGGGAGGGAAGGGAGCAACACAACACAATGATAGAGGAATAAATATTAAGCCGTGACATTGACGTGCCCGGCGCCTCCCCTCCCCCGCGCTCCCGGCACACTCTGGGCTGCTCGGCACGCCCCCTCCCGTTCCACTGCGTCCCGCGCGGCGCGGCGCGCTCATCCCCGAGGGGCCCCTGCAACCTCTCCGCGCGAAGACGGTTCCAGCCCTACGGGGACGGAAAAGTAACTTCGCTTTTCTCGGAAGAACCAGGAAGATTAATCGGCCAGGGAGAAGGCAGGAGCGCGCGGAGGGTAGCGACGGGGGGCTTCGTGAAGGAGGAGGAGGGGAGTCTGCGCCCGGAGGAAGGCGCTTGGGATGTCTGATTGCACTTTCTTCTTGTCCTCCCATCTCTCCTTTTAGGTGGAATAATTGTGGACTGAGACGCGCTCCGGCAGAGACTATGTAATCGGCTCGGTGACTGTACAGCGGACTGCGCTTCGGGGAGGGAAGAGGAGGGATCGGTTCGCTTCTTTGCGACTCGGCAGGCGGAGTTTCGCAGCGGCACCAGTGTCGCGCCCGCCCGCCCGCGGGGAGGTCGCTCCATCCAGCCCCGCCGGCCGCGAGAGCCCGAGCGCCGGAGCGCGGTAGGCGGCTGGGGTGAGGGAGAGCTAGACCCAGCTCCGGGGCGCCAGGGAGCGGGCCGGGGAGTCCCGGGGAAGGCGAGCGGCGGTCGCAAACCAGCGGAGCGCGCCCCCAGCTCGCTCCAGCGGTGCGGCGTCCAGGCGGCATGGAGAAGGACGGGCTGAGCCGCGCGGACCAGCAGTACGAGTGCGTGGCGGAGATCGGGGAGGGCGCCTACGGGAAGGTGTTCAAGGCCCGGGACCTGAAGAACGGAGGCCGTTTCGTGGCGCTGAAGCGCGTGCGGGTGCAGACGGGCGAAGAGGGCATGCCGCTCTCCACCATCCGCGAGGTGGCGGTGCTGAGGCACCTGGAGACCTTCGAGCACCCCAACGTGGTCAGGTGAGCCGGGGAACCGTGCCCGCGCCGTCGGGGGCCGAGCGCCCGGAAAGTGCTGGGCCAGGAGGATCCAAAAGCGCCAGGGAGGAGGGGGCTGGGGCACGGTGCGACCCGTTGACCTTACGGAGAGAATAAGTTTTGTTGACAGAGCCGGTGACCTTGCCAGACAGCGAGCAGAAAGACAAATCAGAAAATGTGACCTACGCAGGCTTCCCTCCCTGCCGGCCCTGAAAGGGGTCTGGGAAGTTGGGTGCCCTTTAGGCACAGAACAAGCCGACCTGAGACACGCCCTGCCAGCCCTACCTCCTCCCCCCTCCCCCCCCCCCCCATAGTTCCCAGGCCATTGGGGAATTTTTGAGAGACTGAGTGTAAGTGAGAGGTAGCAGGACGCAGTGATAATTTGAAGGAAGAGAACTTTATACTGGTATAAATAAGGTTAAAAAATGCAGAAACAATGTTTTTACCAATCACACCCAGGGTTTCTCTTTATTAAAGAGAGAATGATAAGTAGTAGTCTCGATGGTCTAAGGACTAAAGTGCTGATGCCCATTTTCCAACAGTGTTCTTTTAAATATTCTAAAAATATTGCCTGTCTATTATTTTATGTCTCTGAGCCAACATAGTCTTTGGACTACTTCTCCAACGGGGTAGATATGAGTCCAAGATACGGAACCTTAGATTCTAAATTCTAAATTCTGCCTTTGCCTTTTCTGGAGGGTTATGCAGTGGGTGGGGAAACAAAAGTTCTTGAAGTCTCCTGTGTGGAAACCAGTAGTAAAGTGTGTGTGTGCCTTAGGATAATGGTGTTTTCTTGGTGATCCTGGAATTTCCCCATTGTGTGGTTGACACTGTGTGGTGTGTTCTCTTTTTATTTTCTAAACAGATGGATAGTTTCAAGTCAGAAAGGAATGCACAGAAACATCTACAAATTAGGGTGTGCTTTTACCTTTCCTCAACTCTCGAGATAATGTGTTGGAAAAGGGCCTTGGGTTCTTCTTCCTGACTTCTTATCCATCTAGGGATTCTGTTCGACAAATATGTGCCTACTGTGTGCACTGTGGATGAAAATATGTAAATAAGGACAGCTAAATATTTTTGTAACAAGTCAAACAATTTAACATTAGTCATCAAAGTGGAGAGACCCAAGACTGACCTTTGAAATACCAAGCTCTCTACAGACTCAGGGAGTCCAAGCGTCTACAGAATCATCCTGGGAGGTTTTAACTTGTCTCCTCTTATTCCAGGCTGGTGATTTGTGTGGCACTTTGTTCCTGACACAGTGAGACTCAGGCTAGAAGGCAGCAAAGAATCATAAATACATAAATAAGGTAGTAAATGGCTATAAAGATAAGGACCCCATTATACCTCCACTTACCCAGTAAAGCCCGAGAGGGACAAAAGATAATGAGATTGGGAGAATTGTGTTTTAGGAAGATGGGATCACATATAAAAGCAATACGTTAACCTTTTGTGCGTGTGTTTTCTTCCTTGAAAAAACACAAAAACGCTTTTGGGGAGTCTTTGCGATAATGAAGGGAAAAACGAGGGTACATTTTTGTCCCATGTAACTTAGTTATCTTCCTAGAAGAATCACCTAGGTGTTTCCCAAAGGATGAATTCCACCCCTAAAATTTTAGGACTAAAATTTGTGTTTTATTTTGTTTGTTACCTCTGGAGAGTGTCCAATCAAGGATGATCTTCATGTGTGTAAGTAAGATGCTGTCCTGACGTAGAGGTGTTATGGAGGCACCCCTGTGCAACACTGCTTTTTACAAAGCACAGGCTATTCTTGTAAGCTGTACTTATGAATTGAAGACAAGTGGTCGTTTTCTAAAAGTATCTTTACATGTGAAGTTTCTTCGTACAAGTCGTAAGGAGAAACTGAGATAGTGTCTGTGAGAGCACTTTGTCCATTTAAAAGTGTTTCACATGTCCAAGTATTATTTGTGTTCAGGCAGATGCGCGGGCCCTTGCCTCAGAGCCAGTTCCCAGTAAGGAAGGCATCAGTTCGCCTGACTTGTACGATAGGACAAATCATACTTAAGCCCAGACATTATCAGCTCTGAAACCAAGAAGCTACTTGAATATAATGAGCCTGTAGTTTGTCAGAAACGCCCATCAGTCATATGCCATGAAGGTCAGTGACACTTGAGGAAATTATTGATGATGTCATCCTCACAAGCTGCAGATCTCCATTCCAGTTAGTTTTCCTTCCCGTTTCTTCTCTTCCGCCTCTGCCTTGGGGCAATCATTGGCCCCCATGACTTGTGTGGCTAGACTAGGATTCTGGACTTCAGAGGTTGCTGATATTTGCAGGGTCAGGAAATCGAGGACAGGTGACAATAATTCTTTTCCTTCCAAGGTAGAGTTGTCAAAGTTGAGCTCCCAAACCAGTGATTTATTGTTGCCCCACAGGATTGTTGCTGGTTGTTTAAAGGTTTCTTAAAAGGGCGGATGCCTTTATAAGTTGCCTTCCAGTCATAAGTAATTTATCATAATTATAGGCCCTTCCCACAGATAGTTAAGCCTCTAAGCTTGAAGGAGCATAATAAACATATTAGCTTTTTTCCCCAAAAGTTTAAGGTTTAATTTTGATGGATTTGCCAGAAAAGCTGACTTGTTGTTGTTGGCACTGGCACTGTCTACATGTGTGGGGATAATGACTTGAAATTCTTGCTTACCTGCACGTGATGTAGCCAAGGCTTGATCAGTCTGGGATGTAAAGTTACTCTTACTTTACGGTTGGTAATCCCAAATCCCTAGAGCCTTTGCCACAATCAGACTTCAGTATAAACCTATATTGGAGCGTTGCACTCTACAAATGAATTCTGTTGACGTTCTGAACTAAATATATACAAGCAGGTAGGATAATATGGTTTATCAGCAATCTATTCATTCACCAAATATTTATTGAGGGCCTACTATGCCCCAGACACTGCTAGAAGCTGGGGATACAGCAGCAAACAAGTCAGGCCAAGTCTACACTTCTAGAACTTACCTTGTAATGGGATGAGAAGTTCTTTTTCTTTTTAAAAATCCACTTATCTTTATTTCCATTGGCTTGCTTTACTATATTTAACCTAACCAATTTTATAGCGCAACTAATTTTTTTGTGATAATTTGGTTACCAGGAGTTTGCTGATTGAATAGGTAAGATAACCAAAACACTAATCAGAATCAAATGCTTTTTGAAGATTAAATTTCATCTTAGAGACATACAAATAGATCTATATAAGAAGACATTGACATATAAACAATATATATGATGAACATTTGAGCTCTATTTATTCAACGAGGATTTAGGAAGAACCTACTGTTTAAAAACCATGGGCTCAGTGCTGGGAAATATACTTGAGTAAGTCACAGCTGCTCCTCTCCTCCAATAATTCCCCGTGGTTGAAGGACTAAGATGATCACCATAACCCTGATACATGATAGTATTGTGTCAGTACAGAGGCCGGGAAGTGCTACCAGTGTTGTCCTTAGGGATCAAAGTTGTTAGTATAGCAGTGAAAGTAATTCAAATTGAAGTACTGGTTCCAGAAACTAAAACTCATGGCATTTCAGTGAATAAACGTGTGGCATCTAAATATGTTCAATTATTTTTCTCAGCATATTTAATCAATGCTTTAAATAAAAAGCCAACAGAGGAACTTCTCTTGCATGTGGGTCTCTGACTCTCTCATGTATCTGGTGTTCCCATACATTATGTATGTATTAAATTTGATCATTTTCTCTTGTTAAAAATAAATAAGTAATAAAGCCAACAGAAAAATCCATGCAGCTCAGTAATTATTATTCAAGAAGAGTTTCTAACTTTCTTTTTTTTTTAAATTCTTTATTGTTTAAAGTATTACATGAGTCTCCTTTTTTCCCCCATTGACCTCTCTCCTGACACCCCCTCCCTCAAGCACAAGCCCTCACCCCTCCTACTGTCTGTGTCCATTGCTTTTGTTCATATGCATGCATACAAGTCTTTTGGTTGATCTCTTACCCCCTCCCCCCACCTTCCCTCAAAGGTTGTACAGTCTGTTCTATGCTTCTATGTCTCTGGTTCTATTTTTGTTCATCAGTTTATGTTGTTCATTATATTCCACAAATGAGTGAGATCATGTGATATTTATCTTTCTCTGACTGGCTTATTTCGCTTAGCATAATGCTCTCTAGTCTCATCCATGCTGTTGCAAATGGTAAGAATTCCTTCTTTTTTTACAGCAGTTCATACTTTCTCTTTTTAAAGATCTCAATAATATATATCATTAAAAATCTGATATTCTCAAGGAAAACCTAATCATTAACAGGGTCGAAGAAATATGGCATATTATTTGATGCAGCATAAAGCTGAGTCATCTGGGAATTCCAAATAAAAGTGTTATTTTGTGGGTGAATAGTACATTTATTAGAGCTTGTTTCAGTGAAAGGAAAAGCAGGCGTTTGTCTCTTTTTAACTTTCAGCATGTTAAAAGTGTGTTTGGTCTCTCATTCTCTAGGAGTTCCTTGAAAAGTCTCCAATTTATCAAGGTTATTTAGTAAATAAACATTTTCACAATGATATTCTGCCCATTCCTTGTTCCTGCAGAAAAACTTGGCAATGCTGAATTGTTGACATTGCACTTGTATTATTTTTACGTAACTATTATCACCATGGCATTATTAGAATTTTTCTGTCAAGAAGAAAATGGTATACAAGATGGAAACTTGTATAAACTTGAATGTCTAATGGTGTATTTTCCTATTTTTAAGACATGGTAAGTGAATATCTATTGAAAACAGACTCCTTGTTAAAAGTAAATTATCTTTAAAAAAGAATATGCCTCGTCCAGGTGACCTGGAAGTTATACTTGCAACCCTACCTTCCCTCTCCCACAATACCTCGCGCTCTTTTTTTCCATCTTGGGCCAGGCATAATGGCTCCCGCAAAGGAGGGTGGTGAGAAGAAGGGGGACCATTCTGCCATCAATGAGGTAGTGACCAGAGAATACACAATCAACATTCACAAGCGC